CCGAAGAATATGAGGTGGGAGTCCGGACGGCTGAATGGGAGTTCAAAACTTCTATGGTATACTCAGCTAATTCAGATGGATCGGAAGTTCTGTCGATGGAATTATAAACATGACATTGCCCGGGAATGCAATCCAAAAGTTTAAGGTTGATGGAATCAACTGACAGTTCTTCGGTGCCAATATCCCCCACCCCAGCAAGCCAATCGGCATCGGCAAAATTAGTGGCTAGGTTGTAGAAGACTGCATTCATCAATTCATCCGGTGATTCAACAGTGGTGGCAAGCTGATCCATCTGCACAAAACCCTGTGTGTCAGATGGCATTTTCCTCTCCCCAAGAGCAAGAATGTCCCGTGCGAAGTCAGCGGATCTGGAGCCATTCAAGTAGGCACGCATGTTCGTGCTCAGTTTAAGAGTCCCTATGTGGCGCCAAAGGGCAGACGACTTCAGGCAGGCGCGGACAGCGTCAGCGCGTGTACCTTTAGTAATAACAGGTAGAGTCTGCTTAAAGTCGCCTGCGAGGAGAAGGGTTACTCCACCCATGGGGTCGGAGGAGTCGCGGATGTCTTGGAAACTTCGGTCAAGTGCCTCAAGGGCGCCATTGTGTGCCATCGTGCACTCATCCCAAACTATAAGTTTGCATCTCCGCAGAACTTCAGCCTGTGGCGAATCCTTCTGATGAACCATATTTCCGCCGCCTCGAGTCTCTTCTTAATCCTTGAGGATACCGTCCAATATTCGCCGTCGTATAGGAGGACAGATGTCACGTAGAAGCTCAGTACTCTTTTCTTTGTCACCATAGAAATCCTCCTGTTTTGTAGTACTCTGTCCAGCTTCTGGAACACATCCTTGGCCATCTCAATCCGTCTTCGGATCTCCGTCAGAACACTTGCGATCTTGCAAGATCAAAAGATAATGAGTACAATTTTAAGTAATCTTCTTTAGAAAGTATCAGTGTTTTCCTATCCGTACTGTTGATCCAATGTTGTTGTTCTCAAGTTTATTGTGATCTTGAACTAGACTTGATCCAAGTTTAGAGGATAATTCAGAAATCAGAGTTCTACTGAAACACTCTTGAGTTATAAATAAAGAATATACTGATCGATGGCAAATGATGCCTGATCTGAAGCTGTTTTCTATTTCTTAATAGAAGCGCGAGTCTCTTTCTGTTTTCAATGTCGCCCGTAGTGTTTAGGTAGCTACCAGGTAATTTGTAGTTTTTCTAATTAGGGGCTTTAACCTTAGTTTCTTGAAGTTTGTAGTTCACAAGCCAATCAAGTGCAGACCACAGCAATTTGTCGTTTTTGTGTTGGAAGAGTTATTCCATCATTGGTAGTAACAGGAGGCGTGGAGTAGGCTTTTGGTATAGTGTAGATCTCAGTTTTGGTCTGGTTCACTTTGAACTCTCTAGATTATCGAATCTTTTCCTGTGTTTGCTAAATCATTTTAAGTGAGATATGTCATCAGCACAATTTGTTTGGGTCACAAGAGCTAGGTTGGGTCGACCTCATTCTTCAGTAGCTGCGCTTTATAGAACATGAATAAAATAAGATTGAGGTTTAACTGATGGCCCGCCTCAGTATCTGTGCTAGACGGAAAACGACTGTAACCAGGCAGACTGTACCCTTGCATGGTACCCAGCAATGTTACAAAAATCCTTCCAAGTGTGTCATTAATGTTTAATTATACGTTTCACGCGTCGGTAAGTATGCTTAGCTGGTAAATTTCATCTGGTTACAGAAATGCTTCTGAATCAAATATAGTTAACTGGGGCAAAAGATATCTTGTTAATTTTAACGCCTGCAAAACTAAACTTCTCTCAATTAATCGTCTGAGTGACTCCTGGCTTCCTAGGAAAGTGAGTCTCTGCGCCTTTTCGGGCTCACGTTCTCTTCTGTTGTTAAGTAGAAAGACTATATTGAATCCATTACTAGATCAGCTGCTAAGAAAGTCGGTTCAGTTTGTGGGGAGAGACAATTTTTCTCTCATAGAATCTGTTACGTATCTATAAGTCTACCATTCGTCGATGCTTAAAATACTGATGCCACGTACGGTCCGGTGCTCCTGCTATTTACCTTGAGCTACTGGAAAAGATCCAAAGAAGAATCTGCAATATTATTGGTCCTAATCTGGCATCTCGGCCTCAGTCACTTTCCCACCAACGTAAGGTTGCCTATCTACGTCTTTTTTATAAATACTTTCATGTTAGTTGTTCCGATGAGCTCTTCGCCATGGTACCTAGAGTTTTTTTTATTATCTTATTTTATTTTAGCGCAGCACTAGACTGGCGTCGAGATCTCATCAATTTACAACTGAGCTGGCTAGATGTAGCCGTAAGTTCTATGCTAACAGTTTCTTCTTTCGCACTTCTCGTTTGTAGAACTCCCTTCCGGCTCCATGCTTTGCAGTCAGCATTAATCTTCAAAAATTTAAATGCAGTGTCAATCGCTATTTACTGCCCACCTGATTATTACTTTCTTCTCGTCGTTAATGTTTCTGTTCCTAATTCTTCTACATCCTGTAACCCCTTGTGTTTTGGTGGCTTTACTGCCTCGCTTGGGGTGATTCCGATTTTTAAAAAATACTGGTATAGCTTCTCATTATTGAAAGTATCAAAGGTTTTCTGACGTGTCTAACATAACCTAGAATGCTAGGATGAAGATAATAAAATATTTTACCTAAAATAACTGATAACATGAATATTCTTAATAACATTCAAAGTTGTACTCGAATAAAATTTGGAACTTCGTTCAACTTAAATTTGATCCGGATAAGCGGCGACTAGAAAATGCAATTAAGGCCTACTTTGACAAAAATATGATATATTATATATATATATATATATAGACGTTCCATTTATATAGCACCATATTTAATTATTTTCGTTTACTCGTTTGAATATATACTCCCTGAAGGATGAACGGACAAGAGTTGAGAAGCCGAATTTACATCTACTTATATTAATTGTGTGTATATATATATATATATATATATATATATATATATATATATATATATATATATATATAAAGAGAGAGAGAGAGAGGGCAATCGTTAAATTATCGCTATTTTATATTTTTAATTTCGTGCATGTGCGCTGTTTGTTTTTGATATTTTCGAAAATAATTGGCAAAATGTAATAAGAATTAGGGACCCGTTCAGTTCAGACGTATATGCCATTTAATGCTGGAGCACGTGTGTGTGTGTGTGTGTGTGTGTGTGTGTGTGTGTGTGTGTGTGTGTGTGTGTGTGCATGTCTGTGTGCGTGTATGTGTGTGTAGGGGCAACGTTTGCGTAAGAAATACAAAAGTTTAAAATGAAAATGTTAAATATAGAGAGTCAATCATCCGTGACACTCTCAGACGCGCACATAGATAGATAGATAGATAGATAGATATATAGATAGATAGATAGATAGATATGAAAAGATCGAGGGAGAAAGAAAGAAATGAAAAGATTTAGATAGATAGATAGATAGATAGATAGATAGATAGATAGATAGATAGATAGATAAAGATCAGGAAAACAGAAAAGAAAGAAAGAAATGTGTAGTAGGTTAGAATAAATTGGGAGAAATCAATTGTGATTATTAGACACAAATAGAAACAGAGAACCGGTCAGAAACACCGACAAGTGGAGGTCGATAGACAGCTAAGTTGGAAGGAAAATAAGAGGCTGACAGAGCGAAATATCTTTGGACATTTCAGCTTTCAACTGAGTTCAAACCGAAAAAGCAGAGATTTTGACGTCAGCCTGTAACAGATGTCAATTAATCTCGCCAAAACTGGCCAGAAGAAAAAAAAAACTTTCGCTTTGACGTAAGCATGCAACGAGCAATCAAACGGCTCTCGCTGCTGCTGCTGCTGCCTCTTCTGTTTCTTATTCTTATTCTTATTCTTATTCTTATTCTTATTCTTATTCTTATTCTTATTCTTATTCTTATTCTTATTCTCTTCTTGTCCTTATTCTTTTTTTATTCTGCTGCTCCTGTTGCTGCTTTTATTCGGCGAGCAGAAATCCTCTGACTTTTTTATTCCTTTTTAAATTGATGATGTCTTCAAATCAACTTTGCACATTCTGCCAACCTCTGTTCTTCTATTCCACGGCTACGAAATCTGTTCGCTTCGGAATGTAAATTCTTCAATTTTTAAAGCTTCTGGTTTACACTTTTGGATTTTTTTTCTTTCCCTCAAAACATTAATTATCGTCCATTTTCAATCAGTTTTATTTCATTAATTCTTTTTTCTCGATATCAATTTCAAAATATGAATTTCTTCCCAGTTTTTTCAAATCTTCAATTTTTTTTTTTTTTTTTTTCATTTACAAAAAATATTTTCTTTTACTCGTTTTGACGGGCTAATACCATTGGGAAAGGTATGAATCCTCTTACCCCACCCCTAGCTATAGGTAAATAGCAGGACAGACAGGGTTCTGTAACCTTGGATGCCAACTGGTCTACCTACTGCGGGAAAAAGTCTGCCTCGTTAGTCATGTATCGAAAGATACATGATCGCCTAAGCGTGTATCACGCATGACACATAACTGAACTGATGAATTTGCCAACTTAGAAATATATCAGTATTCATTTTTTCCTTATTTTTGCTGTTTGCTGTTGGTTTATTGAATGTCGAAATTTTTTTTAGGATAAAACTAACTACAAAATAGAAATGATCATCTATGATAGGTTAGGTTGAGTGATTTCGCAAAATATCAATCTATTTTTCGTTATTGAATGTCATATTTCTATATGTGGTACCCAATGAGTATCGAATCCTCCACTCAGTAGGCATATTCAATCTGACTAGCTTAGGTCAGGTTGCTTGATTTTACGACATATAATCTAGTGTTAAATCAATTAATGTTGATTCTTTTTTTTTATGTGGCACTTATTGCGGAACACGATCACAACTCATTGCTCAAAAAGATAAAGTAGGTCAATTCAGGTAGGTTGATTTTACGATATGTTAATTATTTATTGTTTTGTTATTTAATGTCGGATTTTTTAGATAGATAGATAGATAGATAGATAGATAGATAGATAGATAGATAGATAGATAGATAGAGTATTTTGTATTTGTTTTTTCTTAAAAGGAAGTCCTTAAACTTTCAGAGTGCATTTTGTACATGGATATTAGGAATATGAATAGATAGATAGATAGATAGATAGATAGATAGATAGATAGATAGATAGATTATTTTGTATTTGTTTTTTTTTTTCTTAAAAGGAAATCCTTAAAATTTCAGAGTGCATTTTGTAAATGTATATTAGGAATATGAATAGATAGATAGATAGATAGATAGATAGATAGATAGATAGATAGATAGATAGATGAACAGAATAAGATATGAACAGAATATGATATAGATAGAATAGATAGATAGATAGATAGATAGATAGATAGATAGATAGATAGATATGAACAGAATATAGATAGATAGATAGATAGATAGATAGATAGATAGATAGATAGATAGATAGATAGATAGATAGATAGATAGATAGATAATAAACAGAATGGTTTGACTTGATAGAACCTGTGTAAAGATGTTTAAATAAAGCTGCTTTTAGTTACACGTGTGCAGATGTCTTCATTTCTGATAAGAATGTCACTTCTCTCCCTAATCTCATTTGGTTACTAATGAATGGCTTTCAATCAATAATCAATAATCAGGTGTCAATGATTTTTACTGTTGCCGTACACTACATTTAGCAGCTCGTCATTTTTGGGAACGAGTGCAACTTATTCCAAACGCGCCAAATGAATTTAAATATTTCATCTTACAAGGAACAAATGACGTTAATTAGAGGTTTTTTTTTTCTGCAATAGAACTTGCGTCTCAACTTCTGTTCCAAAAATTTAGCTCGTTTCGTGGTTTTTAAGTCGCCGTTTTTGATCTCAACCCGGATTTTCAAATAGCATCAGCTAATCTATGAGTAAACTTTTAAAGTTGTATCTAAAGATTAAAAAAAGGAAAATTTAATGAAGCGTAGTAAAATATCGATTATTTTTTTTTTACATTGCTTAATTCTCTCAGTGTTACTGGGGTCAGTCATATCCCTATCGAATGGGTGGTGTAATGGGTAACAAACTTCTCTCGCTAGTTCAGTTACAACTGAAAAGAGAGTTCGATCCTCACTAGGTGCCCCATACGTTCGGCTTTGTGCCACATCTAAGCTACGCTTAGAAAATAACCATATCCCTTTCGAATTCTAGAACTTATTTATCTAAATACAAGCAGTATAACCCGTCTTCGACTGGGTATTTAATTACTGGGAATTTTTACAGTTCAATTGGAGCAATTTAAGTTTAAAATCAACCCAACCCTTAAATCAATATTAGTAACAACAATTGTGTGCAACGAAGGCACATCCCCAAATGAGGGGGTAACAATTTGAATGGGGTGTGTGGTCCTGAAAAGGGCCGTTTTTGCGTTCTTAATCTTGCAAGGAAGGAACCCCTTCCATGGACCGTCATAATAATAATATACGATAATTTTTATTTATAATTTTTTTTTATAATCCTAATAATCTTTTGCGTTAGATTTCAACTCTCTAAATTGATTGTACGCTGTTTTTTAAAGACATTAAACTTTGCCTTCGATTTTTGCGCAAAGTGTAAAAAAACATTTTTTTTTTTTCGATTTTTCACCTTTAATGTTGTACTTTTTTTCCCAGCCAATTTGGACTCTAAAGCGGCACTGATGAATTATCTATCAAACAAAAAAAAATCATCGAAATCGGATGAAACCTGCGGAAACACATAAACAACGTCCGATCACACACACAAATACAGACACACACACACACACACAAATACAGACACACACACACATACACACACACACATACATTTTGAGAATTAGAGATATTGATTATCTATATACTTGTACTTTTGATGGATTTTATAGATAAACGATTTTTCTTTATTGGTTGATCGTTGGTTGATGTTTAACGGCATTTCAACCTCTCTGGGCTAAGTAATGCCGAAATCAAAATATTTTGAATTCTATGGCTTCAATTGAATATATTTTGAACGCAACTGTATGTCTTTAATTACAAATGTTATATATTGTTTGGAACTTGTAAAATAAGCTGTAGGCAAGAGTCTGATGAACTTAGTAATGTTAATTCTTTCTTTCTATTAGGTTGGTGCAAAAATAATGACATAATAATGTCGTTTTTTTGACGTACTTTTCTACGTCAAAAACGACATTCTTCGTCATTATTTTTACACCAACATTATTCTTATGTCCTTTCATGACGTAGGCGATCATGGCTCTCTACCTCCCTCTATCCCTTGCAGCTCCTTCCTCTACCACCTCCGCCAGACCACCTTCTGTCATCCACTTGCTTAAGGCCGCTAGGTATATCATCCGTTGTTTTCCCTTGTCTCTCTTTCCCTCTATTCAACCCGTGCGTATTAGATTCTCCGGGCCCCCTTTCCACATTATGTGTCACAGGAACTTCAACTGCCTCTTCCTGATGTTGAGTATAAGCCTCCTCCTTGTTTGCATCCTCTCTAAAACCTCATCGTTGCTCACACGCTCGGTCCATGATATGCTTAGCATCCTTCTGTAGAACCACGTGTCTGTCGGCTCGAGTCTCTTCTTCATCTTTGAGGAAATCGTCCAACATTCGCTGCCGAATATTGGACACATTGATATGGCCAAGGAGGAATGCGTCCTTGGCCATATCAATATGTCTACGGGTGTTGCATTTACCGTCCTCTGTCAAGACGCTTCCTAGATATTTAAACTTCCGCGTCTGCTTGATTCTAATGTACCCGACCTGCAAATCACATTTCGGGCTCATTCTTTTACTGATGACCATGCGTTTTGTTTATGCTTAGTCCCTTCTTCTCACTCTCTGTTGCTACCTTCTGTAGGAGATTTTGTAATTTCTTTTCCGTGTCGGCTAGCAATACTGTGTCATCTGCGCATCTTATATTGTTAAAATTATGACCGCCAATGCTAAATCCAGGTAGAGTTTCAAATTCTCTCAGAATTGTCTCGCCGTATCGGTTGAACAGGTCGAGTGAGAAGAAGCATCTTTGCCTTATGCTGCTTTCTATTTTTGTATATTCGCTGAACTCGTTCATGCATGCCGTTTGCTGGCAGTATAGGTTCTTGATTATTCTGATATCTCTTCTCGAATATATCAAGGTTGCTGAGCAGTTCCATTAGATCCTTGTGGTGTACTTTGTTGAAGGCCTTTGCATAGTCTATGAAACATGTCCTTCTGCATTTGTATCGCTCTTTCTGATAACATTCTGAGGATGAATATTGCGTTCCTTCTTCCGGTGTCTTTAACGAACCCACACTGTTCTCATCCTATCTTTAGCCTGATTCTTCTGCGCGCTTTATTCATCAGAATGCGGAAGTTTCGTTATGTGGTTCATTAGGCTTATTGTTTGTTGGAGTTCACATTCGTTTCCGTCTGGTTTCTTAGGCATTGCTATGAAGATAGATCAATTGAGATCGTCCGGTATATCCCCGTGGTTGTTATTTCGGTGATTTTAACTATGCCAAAGTCATCTAAGGCTGTCAGGATTTCCGCTACAATTCCGTTTGACCCAGCTGTCTTTTTTCTGTTCAATTTGGCCTGTGAGGCTTTTACAATTCCGTTTGGCCCAGCTGCCTTGTTTCTGTTCAATTTGGCCTGTGAGGCTTTTACAATTCCGTTTGACCCAGCTGCCTTGTTTCTGTTCACTTTGGCCTGTGAGGCTTTTACAATTCCGTTTGACCCAGCTGCCTTGTTTCTGTTCAATTTGGCCCGTGAGGCTTTTACAATTCCGTTTGGCCCAGCTGCCTTGTTTCTGTTCAATTTGGCCCGTGAGGCTTTTACAATTCCGTTTGGCCCAGCTGCCTTGTTTCTGTTCAATTTGGCCTGTGAGGCTTTTTACAATTCCGTTTGGCCAGCTGCCTTGTTTCTGTTCAATTTGGCCCGTGAGGTTTTTACAATTACGTCTGGCCCAGCTGCCTTGTTTCTGTTCACTTTGGCCTGTGAGGTTTTTTACAATTCCGTTTGACCCAGCTGCCTTGTTTCTGTTCAATTTGGCCGTGAGGCTTTTTACAATTCCGTTTGGCCCAGCTGCCTTGTTTCTGTTCAATATGGCCCGTGAGGCTTTTTACAATTCCGTTTGGCCCAGCTGCCTTGTTTCTGTTCAATTTGGCCCGTGAGGCTTTTTACAATTCCGTTTGGCCCAGCTGCCTTGTTTCTGTTCAATTTGGCCCGTGAGGCTTTTACAATTCCGTTTGGCCCAGCTGCCTTGTTTCTGTTCAATTTGGCATGTGAGGCTTTTACAATTCCGTTTGGCCAGCTGCCTTGTTTCTGTTCAATTTGGCCCGTGAGGCTTTTACAATTCCGTTTGACCCAGCTGCCTTGTTTCTGTTCAATTTGGCCTGTGAGGCTTTTACAATTCCGTTTGGCCCAGCTGCCTTGTTTCTGTTCAATTTGGCCTGTGAGGCTTTTACAATTCCGTTTGACCCAGCTGCCTTGTTTCTGTTCACTTTGGCCTGTGAGGCTTTTACAATTCCGTTTGACCCAGCTGCCTTGTTTCTGTTCAATTTGGCCCGTGAGGCTTTACAATTCGTTTGGCCCAGCTGCCTTGTTTCTGTTCAATTTGGCCTGTGAGGCTTTACAATTCCGTTTGGCCAGCTGCCTTGTTTCTGTTCAATTTGGCCCGTGAGGCTTTTACAATTACGTCTGGCCCAGCTGCCTTGTTTCTGTTCAATTTGGCCTGTGAGGCTTTTACAATTCCGTTTGACCCAGCTGCCTTTTTTCTGTTCAATTTGGCCCGTGAGGCTTTTACAATTCCGTTTGGCCAGCTGCCTTGTTTCTGTTCAATTTGGCCCGTGAGGCTTTTACAATTCCGTTTGACCCAGCTGCCTTGTTTCTGTTCAATTTGGCCCGTGAGGTTTTTTTACAATTCCGTTTGGCCCAGCTGCCTTGTTTCTGTTCAATTTGGCCTGTGAGGCTTTTACAATTCCGTTTGGCCCAGCTGCCTTGTTTCTGTTCAATTTGGCCTGTGAGGCTTTTACAATTCCGTTTGGCCCAGCTGCCTTGTTTCTGTTCACTTTGGCCTGTGAGGCTTTTACAATTCCGTTTGACCCAGCTGCCTTGTTTCTGTTCAATTTGGCCCGTGAGGCTTTTTTACAATTCGTTTGGCCCAGCTGCCTTGTTTCTGTTCAATTTGGCCCGTGAGGCTTTTACAATTCCGTTTGGCCCAGCTGCCTTGTTTCTGTTCAATTTGGCCTGTGAGGCTTTTACAATTCCGTTTGGCCAGCTGCCTTGTTTCTGTTCAATTTGGCCCGTGAGGCTTTTACAATTACGTCTGGCCCAGCTGCCTTGTTTCTGTTCAATTTGGCCTGTGAGGCTTTTACAATTCCGTTTGACCCAGCTGCCTTTTTTTCTCTGTTCAATTTGGCCCGTGAGGCTTTACAATTCCGTTTGGCCAGCTGCCTTGTTTCTGTTCAATTTGGCCCGTGAGGCTTTTACAATTCCGTTTGACCCAGCTGCCTTGTTTCTGTTCACTTTGGCCTGTGAGGCTTTTACAATTCCGTTTGGCCCAGCTGCCTTGTTTCTGTTCACTTTGGCCCGTGAGGCTTTTACAATTCCGTTTGGCCCAGCTGCCTTGTTTCTGTTCACTTTGGCCTGTGAGGCTTTTACAATTCCGTTTGACCCAGCTGCCTTGTTTCTGTTCAATTTGGCCCGTGAGGCTTTTACAATTCCGTTTGGCCCAGTTGCCTTGTTTCTGTTCAATTTGGCCTGTGAGGCATTTACAATTCCGTTTGGCCCAGTTGCCTTGTTTCTGTTCAATTTGGCCTGTGAGGCTTTTACAATTCCGTTTGGCCCAGTTGCCTTGTTTCTGTTCAATTTGGCCTGTGAGGCTTTTACAATTCCGTTTGGCCCAGCTGCCTTGTTTCTGTTCAATTTGGCCTGTGAGGCTTTTACAATTCCGTTTGGCCCAGTTGCCTTGTTTCTGTTCAATTTGGCCCGTGAGGCTTTTACAATTCCGTCTGGCCCAGCTGCCTTGTTTCTGTTCACTTTGGCCTGTGAGGCTTTTACAATTCCGTTTGACCCAGCTGCCTTGTTTCTGTTCAATTTGGCCTGTGAGGCTTTTACAATTCCGTTTGACCCAGCTGCCTTGTTTGTATTCAATTTGGCCAGTGCAGCTTTTACTTCAGTTTTAGAATTTCAGCTCCGTCGATTTTTCTGTGTATTGCGGGTTGTTCCCTTACGTCATGGAAGAGTTCTCCAATATACTCGCTCCAGCGTCGAAGAATTTTTCCTTTTCTAATATGAGTGTTCCACCCTTTGATTTTAGGCAGCTTGTTGACGAGCATCTCTTCTGTTAGTTGTTTTATTTGTTTGTTCATGTCTCTTTTGTTGATAGTACTCAATCTTTCTATTTCTGCACATTTTTTGTTTAGCCATTCTTCTTTAGCTTGCCTGCATTTGGTCCTTATTTCCTTGTGTAATTTTCTGTGCTCTGTTCCGAATCTTTACAGAGTTTTCTGTCTTCTTTTCATCATGTCGAGAATCTCATCAATCATCCATTCATTTTTTTCTTCTTTGTCTTGTTTCCTTTGGGTTGATATCGTTTGCTGATGTCACTAAAGTGTCTCTTAGTGCGTCAAATTTCGAGTTTCTGCTGTGTGCCTCGTATCTTTTTTTTTTTTTTTTCATATTGTCCATATATTTTTCTTTTAGGTTAGAGTCGCTCATGAGTTTGCTGTATTGCAGTTTGGGTGCTGCGTTAGGCTTCTTCAATTTCCGCAGTTTTACTCTTAGTTTATATATAAGATGTTCGCTTCTGCAGTCGGCATTCGGGTAGGTCTTGCAGTGAATTATTGCGTTCCTGAATCTTTTATTGATGGTTATGTAATCAGTTTGTTTTTTTAGTTTCTCCTCCTGGACTCCTCCATATCTATAGTGGTCTCGGATGTTCTTGGAACCATGTTTTTTGGCTATTACCTGGCCATTGGATCCAATTTTCTCTGCGTTCGTTGTTGTTTCCTCGTCCAAATCTTACTGCTATACCCTCTGCCTTTTTCCTGCCTACATTAGCGTTTAGGTCCCCATGATAATGATGACTTCTTGTGATTTGCATAGAACCCTGGCACAGTCCAGCATGGAGTAGAAAGATTCTTCCTTGATTTGTGCTATTTGTGCGTATAGTACTATAATAATCCCGTTGAAAGGCTTCCTTTTCAGCTTCACTACCATAATTCTTTCGGAAAGTTGATGGTATCCTAGAACGCATTTCATAAGTGCACTATCTAGTATTAGTCCTACTCCTTTTTCGTTCTTCTCATCACCTGCATAAATTATCCTGTGCTTGTCGCTGACAAAATCACCATTGTTTGGCCATCTGGTTTAACATACACCTAGAATGTTGATGTTAGGTCTGTTCATCTTTTGTTTAATATTATCAAACTGGCTGCAGTTGTTCAATGTCCAGACATTCCATGTCCCGGGGGTTATTTTGTGTTTGATGCGATCAATCACAGGATAACGGTCATGTCGTTCTTTTCCGGGTGAGGGATAGGTTCCGAGGTCTTTTATACAGCCAGCATTCATTGACCGAATAGCCAGTGCTACTGTCGGTTGAATTTTATTAAATCTTTCAATTTTTCAGGAAAATTTTTATCAAGTCCGGTAACTGTTATCGCTCTTTCCAGTATTGATAGGAGGCTTCCTTCCTAGCAATTAAACTTAGTTTTGTTTAATGGCATATCAACACATCTATGGGTTATTTAATGCTGAAATATAAATATTTTCTACACAATTCTATGGCTTCAACTAAATATATTTTAAATGCAATTTTATGCTTTCAATTACAGATAAAATGTATTGATTTAACTCTGCCATAAACCGTATTGATGTTCATTTTACTATAAACTATATATTTTTACACTTTCATAGCGTTTTGTTTTTGTTTGTGGGGAGTCATTATTTGCTCATAGATGGGACCCTAACAGGTGCTACCACACTGGTCGATAAATCATTGGTTAATGTATTTCGGGCACAGGTCTACTCTATTAAAAAAGCATTACGGCCACATCACGTTGAAAACATTAGTTCCCGTACGATCACCGAAGTTAAGCAACGTGGAGCCTGCTCAGTAGCTGGATGGGTAACTGCTTGGGAATACCAGGTTCTGTAAGCTTGCATGTGCGGATCATATAATGGATAATAGCATGAGATTGTTAATCGGAGAACCGGGTTCCGTTAATTCCTTATGTTCATTATGCGCAATACCCTTATGAAAGGCATGAATCCACCTCCTCCTGCCCAGCTATGAGTTAATCATTAATCCTTGTATCACTAAACCATTATTATATCCATAAAAGAAAGAAAAACTTCTTCTAATACAAAATTATTTTCTGGTTTTAGGTTGATAAGCCGTAGAAAATGAATTAGTCAGTCAGTTATGTACCATGCATGATACACGGTTAGGCGATCATGTATCTTTCGATACATGACTGATAAAGAAGATTTTTTCCTGCAGTAGGTAGCCATCAGTTGCCATAACAGGCTGTAGAACCCGGTTTCTCCCGCTATTTACCCATACCTGGTAGGAGAAGAAGAGGATTCATACCTTTCCTAAGGCTATTAACACGTAAGCGAATGTAATAGATTCGACTGGAATTCGAACTCAGCTCTACGATTCCTCAATCCGAGCCGCTATCACAGAAAACGAATCAATCTATATTTTAAGTTATTTAAACAAAGCGCTACATTATGGATAAAACCTATTTTAGGATACTCGCTTCAAAAATACTCACACGTCCAAATACCAAATATCAAACTTTTCATCAAATTCAGTTCAACATACTTTTCGTAAAAAATTTTAAAAATGCTGGGGCTGATGAAATATTTCAAACCCAAAATCAAAAACCAAAATTCAAATGAAGAAATAAATGTGAAAATAGTCGAGGCGAATGCTTCAAAACAGATAAATAAATAGAAAAGTTCGCATTTTTGTTTACTTCCAAAATGGAGGATGAATGACAAGGCGTAGGTTGCTGTGTTAAGTTGCATATCATGGCGCCAGTTTCCAAGCCGAATTCCAAACTAGCTGACCTGCTGATGGCGAAGACAGATCGTAATTCTGTAACGAGATATAAGCGCGTTAATCAAGTGCAAATCTATTGTTGGGTTGGAACAAACGTTTTTATTTTATTTTAATTGGAGGCGTTTGAACACGTGATCTTGATTCACACGTGACTGAAATGTATGACATATATAAATATTCTGACAGCTGACATATCAACACGAGTTTCTATGAGATTCTTGTGTGAAATGTAAATTCTAAATGTTTATACGTTTAAAGTGAGAATAGAGGATAATTAAATCTATTTTCGTTAGTTGATGCTAGTTTATTTCCAGCAAGGATAAAAATACTGTATGTGCCATTATTGCATAGGGTGCCATAGCTGAGAGCACTGTTCATAAATTGTTCGCATGGTTCAGAAATAGAAACTCTAATCTGTGAAACTGGGAAACTGGACAAGTTCTAGTAGGCTTACGGTGGATGATGACAATCGATTCAAAACGCTAATTAAAAATAATTCTGATCACACGATACAGAGTAACTTTGCGGGCCATCGCAAAGGTACTCCGCATTAGGGCAGGTTGATTTTTCCCGTTTTTCAGAAATTCAACATTGCATTCAATGTGAAAGCTGCGGTTTGATGTGATAAGTAGTGCCACCAAAAATTAGGTTCATGGCTTTTACCAGTTTTTGAGCTATTAGTTTTAAACATCGTTTATAAAATTGTACAGAAATACGTAATTTACACCGGTTTTTGCTTACAAACTGACTTCAGATTTTTTGTAAGAATAAATTCAAATAAAGTTGTTATCTTTTTTTTATTAGATACATTGAATGGAAAATGTAATCAAACCAGAATTCTGCTTATGAATCACCACAAGAAAATATGCATTTTTAACTAATTCGAAGAGTAAAAACTGTGTAAAAAAATTGTAAAAGATTACAAAAATGGCTACTCAGTAAATAAGACTAGTTAGATAATTTATATCCTTTGTTAGATCATAATTAATAAAAGCAAAAAATAAATAAACGTGTAAATAGCACCATAATACTTCTGATCATAAATTATGAGAAAAATGTTTTAAATTTGTATTGTTTATTGAAAATCGCACTAAAACTACAATATTGTATAACATATAACATCATAATATACTTATACTTAACATCAGAAAGAGACAGCTGAAATTTCTATGGCACATAATGCAGAAGGAGTGCTTGAAAAATTTGACACTCACAGAACTGATTGAGGACAGGAGGAAAACAGTGTATAATCTACCTAATGACCTTGGATAGCAGAACAAGGTTTACGAGAGATTACAAAAACATATTTACTGTTACAAAGTATAATAAATTACGGAGAACCATGATTGCCCACATACTGAAAGGACATGCCACATAGAAGAAGAAATACGCTCCCTATAGATGTTAGGTATTGTTATTCAAATAAATGTTTTCATAATAAAATTGGTATTAAACATCCAATAAAAGTTTTCCGGACATATATGATCACTGTATCTATTTATATGATCACTATATCTATTTATATGATCACTATATCTTTTTATATGATCACTATATCATGTAACCTGTTAGCTATTAATATCTATCCTAAATTTTTTTTTAAATATTTAATTAATTCTTTGGGTGTGTCACGTTTTATTATACAAAAAAATTGAAGCATACCTTTTTATTTATAGATACATTTTATTTATACGTACAAGCCAATGGGAAAATATTTGATTAACATATACCTGAATAAATTATTATTTTAAAACCTAATATGAACTCATCGATGTTCTATAACTTTCATCAGTCTGTCAATCACTGAATTTGTTCAGTTTAAGGTGTAAGATAATTATTTTATTTATAAATAAATGCTGAATACATAGACCATAGAAAATAATTTGATTAACACACTATAATATATGCCTGAATAAATTATTATTTTACAACTTATGTGAAGCAGATGTGGAGCTTCCATTGATGCATCCTCTCTCCTGTTGTCGTAGTGTCGGCCTCTTATCTAAGACATACAGCAGCAATAAACGACATCATGAGAACACGTCTGGATGCAGCTGGGTTCCCTTCAAGAATCGAACCCGTAGGCTTTGACTGTGGTGATGGAAAGCGACCGGATGTGCTTGCCGTTTTCCATTTTAAAGAGTCGTGGAGGGAGTCGTTAATTTGACAGGCGACCTGTGCCGATACATTTTCGACCGGTAATTTGAACTGTTGAGCGATTGAGCCGGGGGTGTGTGGCACGAGTTGAGTGGCGGATATTTAAAAAAAATAGTTAAATATTCTTCCCTTGCGGGCAGATTTATTTTTACTCCAGTCGCAGTGGAGACTTCTCGGGTTATTTGCCCTTGTTTCACAGCTTTGGAGCATCGGCGGGATTGCGTCTCGATTAAGGGACGAGTCTCGCGAAACGGTGTGGCTCTTGCAGCGTGTTTCACTAGCGATGGTGCGAGGTAATGCTTTCTCCATCATTGCAGCTGGGAGAGGATAGCAAAAAAGATACTTTGTTTAAAATAAATCAACTAGTTCTTACACGGAAAAAATATTTTCATATGTAGAAAATTTTACAACTTAATATGAGCTTTTTGATAATCTATAACTTTGAAAATGCTACATTTTCTCCTCTCGCACTTCTCGCTTGTTGAACTCTCTTCCGACTTCTTGCTTTCCTGTAAACTATGATATTCAAAAATTTAAATGCAACATCAATCGTCGTCACCTGTCTATTTGAACCCTTCTCATTTATCGTCCTCTTTCCTCAATAACACTCTCTTTCACTCTTCGTATCCTTTTACATTTTAATGACTTTATCGCCTTGTTTTGGGGTGAAATAATTAAGACATTGAATGCACATGCCTGAAAAAATTAGCATTTTACAGCTTAATATTGACTCGTTGATATTCTATATCTCTCATCATTTTCTCAACTATTATATTTGTTCAATTTTCTATTTTAAATAATTGACGCGCTAATACCCCCCTCCTCTCTCTCTCATTCTCACTTTTTTCTTCTCTCTCTCTCTCTCTCTCCCTCTCTCTTTCTGTCACGAACACACACACGCGCACAGGTATTTACAAAGCTTGACTTATTTTAGGAAGTACGGTGGACTAATGTATAGTCGCTCGGATTGATGAATCGGAGAGCCGAGTTCGAATTTCAATATAGTTTATTAAATTCACTTATGTGCTAATACCCTTGTAGGATTCTATCTATCCCACACCCCCACATTACTCTTCTGGGTCCTATAGCCTTAGGTGGCAACCAATCTAGAAGAAGAAAATGAAATCAAAATCAGCCTAGAGAAGGTTGGGCTCCGTCAGGCTGTCTTGCCCAGTAAACACCCCTTCGACTACAGCTGCAGTACATGACCCTAATGGATTACGGGATCGTGATGTTGACCTTATTCTTATAGTCATCTTCTGTAACGTATCTCTTCAGATTAAACCATGGCTCTCCACAACTTCCTCTTGTGGCCCTCATCAGTGTTTCTCCATTTGCCAAGCCTCAAAATCACCGTTCCGCCATCCATTCGCACAAGCTCGTCTAGTAGGTTGCTCGTTACCATCGTCTATCGCTTGACCTCGATAGGCCTAGTGGCGATTACATTTTCCAAGCCCTCCTTCCTCATTATGTGTCAGAGAAATTTCATCTGTCTGATTTTGAGTATAAGCGTTCTTCTGTTACAGGTTTCTTTAAGATTTCCTCGTTGATTAACTTGCGCATTCCATGGCATACTCAGCATCTCTCTGTAGGACCACATGTCCTACGTGACCAAAATGCGAGTCAACCAATAAAAATCGAAATAACTACATTAGTAATGGTCTGCGAGACTAAATTTCTATGTATCCCTCTCAAGTAAGAGAACTTAAATATTTACTAAGTTTAGACACAAATAAATATACGACGCCAGTAAGACTTGAACTCACTACACAGCTAATGATTTTCCCGATTTATCTGTTAACCATCGTTTGAACCTACGATTTTGCATTATTCAATAGGAAGTGTTAACCAAAGGTTCAAGTAATGTAATCATGAAAAAAGACAGGGATATATATATATATATATATACACGAATGTAAAAGAATGAGAAGA